ATAAATATTTTATAATATTTATAATAAATATTTATGATCTGTGCAATCTAAGAGAGAGACCACAAAAATATATATTTACAAAATATTATAAATCAGTCTCACAAATATTTTGTAAATATTTTATGAATGTTGTGTGCTGTCTGTTATATTTATTTAATTTGTGTTTAATTGAATTTGCCTTGTCGTTATACCGCTGTTGTTGCTCAAAAAAATATGGCTATTAATGATAAATATTAATTAAAACACTACAAAATTATAATATTAATGGTAAAATGTAATTAAAATATCACAAAATTATTATAGTATAAGTTACTGTTATCACTTGTCATGTAAAACAAGTTATGAAACTTTTGAACACGTTAGTTGAGTAATTTTTTAAATAAACACATGTTCAATAATAAATTGTGTTTATTTTTTATATTGTTTCTTTAAACATTTTTTACATATCCCTACACCCAACATTAGTCAAAATTCCTTTAATCTTCATTTTAAAAAAATTGAAATTTTTACCGTATAAGAAAATCTACAATGTCTTTTCTTGTCCGAAAAACGTTTATCTTGTATGAAAAATGTTGGTTTCTGTGTAAAAAAAACATGCACACTAGTTGCTCGAAATGAAAAAAAATGGGGATAAATGATTGTAACGAATATCAGCGAGATCGATTAGTACTGGTGGACTTGGCCGGCCGAATATCTGTTGACGCGGGAGCGATGGCGACGCCACGCATATACGCACGTATTCCTCGCGCGTAAGGGACGTGGTGTGCGTGCTTGCGTGAATTTCTGGCGGTAAGCGTTATACTCAGTTTCTACGTGCGCTCGAAGAAAGGAACGGACCAGAGAGCGAACGCAGCGTTGTTATGGCTACGACGGAGTCGCGGTCACGGCTCTCTGCTGGGCCTCTCCGTTCTGACGGACCCATTCTGAGGAGCGCCAATTTCGTCCCTCCCATCTCAAAACTCTTGAGAAATATACACGATTTACCATTTTAACTGATTTAGTAATTAGTTTAAATTAACTAAATATTTTGGAATATATATCTTCTATTGTATAAGAAAAATTAATTTTATGAAAATTTTTGTTGAGAGAAATAAAAAAATATTCACGTAAAAGAGGAATAATATAGTTCTACATAATAGAAGAATATTTTCCGTGAAAATAATTATGAAAAATTATAAATAAAATTTGGGAAATGATACAACATTTGTAAGTATATGGGCGATTCCGGAGAAAATAGGACAAAATAGGTAATCTTTTTTACCTTGTATTTTTTTAATTGATTGAAATTTTTGTTACGTGATATATACTCCATTTCAAATAATGTGTGAGCTTATGCCCTTTAAAAAAATTTTTTTATTAAAATTTTTTCACATAGAAGTTTGTACGAAACTGAGTACCGCTCTACTTTGAAGTTAAATATTTCCGGTTTGAATCATCGTAGAAAGACGATTTTAAAAGGGAAATTAAGCGCTTTTATAATGTTATTTCAGTTTGTTTAAAACATTAATAATTTTTATTGTTATTAACAATTTAAATATTAATTAATTTTTTTCACCAAAAATTACCACTTATTAAAATTTGAAAAAAATATCGTCGGATTCCTTATTAAATTGTATACAAAATGTATTTTTTATAGGATGGAGTCTCAATGGGCTCATAGTTAAAAAAAACAGCAAACACTGTGCGACGTCTCTTGAATCGGTGAATTACTACTGTTTTAGGTTTTAGGAAAAATTAAGAAAAATTTTTTTTATTATATCTCATGAAATTTTTATTTTGTATAATATGTATGTGTGAATATCAGTTTTTATTTCATTATTTTATCCATTTTAATTTCAGTTGAAAACGAAAATTCCCTCATATGAATTTGTTTCTTGTTTACAGGAATAAAAGAATGACACTTCCTCATATTAATCAGTGCCCTTGCAAGATCAAATCGGTTTAAGATTTTTACATGTTCTGCATCATCTTTTGTAAAATAGAAAAATTTAACGCTTGGAATATTTATATCATATGATATAATAATCAAATGAAATCATATAAAATCATGTAATCTGTGGGATAATATTTCAGCTAATGATTACCCCCTCGGTTATTGGGATATATATTTAGTACATATGTATATTAATTATAATTCAAATATATATTTTTTTATAAATAAAAAATTATATTAAAAGTTATATATTTAATAATTAAATAAAACATCTTAAGATCGCAAATGTAAATACACAACTGAGTAACGAAAGTTTTATCGATCTGAGCTGAATCTTAATGCTTAAATATTTTTTATGAGAATTTATATACATATCTAATTTTACAAACTAGAAATGTATATATAACGCGCTGAAATTATTTTTAGTCTTGAAATGCAATTTCTTATGATTTTTTCCTAATTATATTAATTGTGTATGTGCGTGCGTGTGTGTGTGTGTGTATGTGTGGTGTGTGTGTGTGTGTATGTGTGGTGTGTGTGTGTGTGTACATGTGTGCGGATTAATATAGTTTAAAAATAATTTAGTTACTTTCCTTATTCATGTAATTTATAAGTATACTGTTATTATTCACGTAAGTTGTGATTTTAATTAGATGCGATCTCAAATTTTTCATATTGTAAAGTCCGACGGATTTCATGCGTCGCTGCGAGAATTTTGCTCTTGATCCCGTCGTCTCGATCGAGAGGTTAAGCTTACGTTGCCTGATCTTATCGTAATTTGCAGCCCCTGTTATGTCAATAAACGGCTGAACACGCGTCCGGCATTATCTATGCGTGACTCCATCTACGTTTTTTTCTCTACGTCTCACCCACCGCTTTTCTTCCGAGTGTATCATTTACCAATGAATCTCGCGCGTAACATAACAACCCCAGTATAGAGCTGCCAGACCTTATCTCTCTACTCATAATCGTCACAAAGGGCGTCAACACGATGCAGACATTAATTAGATAAGCACAGGAGCATTAGATAATCTCCCGAGAGAAAAGAGAATCGAACAATACAACCTCTCCGAAGAATGTCTCACGATTATATCATCGCTCGATTATCATATCGAGTATAGTAAATGCTTCTATATGATTATGATATAGTAAATGTTTCTACATTAAGTAAAACATAAGAATCTGTACATTGAATAATCTAATAAAACTACGAGAAAAAGAGAAATTCGTCACTTTTTAATGTTTTATCAAATACTGAATTTAGTAACAAATTCTTTTTTAACGTAATCCTTATATGTATCACAATTTATATGTATCTATTGACACAATATTCAAAATAATATAATCTAGCTTTTACAGTCATAATTACTTTCATTAATTCATTAATTCATATTATAAAATTATTTATAATAATCTAAATTAAAAAAATAATTTTATAATATTGAACTTTTTCAACTCTTTAAAAGGATTTCTTTGCTTAAGTTATATTATTTTTAAACTTTTATTAATTTCTTTGTGTGTGTATGTGTTTGTGATACTCCTAGTTTACATTTTATGTAAAAATAGGAAAAAGTTTTGTTTAAAAGACAATCGAAAAGTTCTATTAAGACTCTTGAGTAGTCACCATATTGAGTCGTAACGTCAGAAACGAGAAATGACACGTTAATATTTGTTACGTGTTAATTGTAAATAAAGACAATTTAGACAAAACAACATGGTGAGATCATTTTAAAACATTTATTAAAAAAACTATACTTATCTCCCCTGACAGTCAGTAAATAATCGTAAAAAGTGATAAGAGGCACGTGAAGTGCCTCACTTTTATTCAATGCGCATGCGTAGCCTATTTTCACTTACACGTGCCTTTTATTACTTTTTACGATTATTTACTGACTGTCAGGAGGGATAAGCATAGTTTTCGTCCATTTTTACAAATGTTTTAAACCGAACTCATTATGTCATTTTATCCAAATTGCCTTTATTTACAAATGACATGTAAAAAAAATTAACATATCAATTCTCGCATTTGACGTCACAATTTAACGTGGTCCTTTAAGGGTCGTAGCATGGAATGACTTATGTTTCCTGAAGCAATTTGGGACAAAAGAACACATGTTGCAGAACATTTGATTTCTACGAAAGAATAGGCAGACCCTTAGGCGATGCCCTTTTACACATACATTTTTCATCATCATTATGTAAAAAATACCAAAAACAGATTAAGAAATTTGAAAGTATCATCATGTGAATAGGAATACACTTTCTGTAACAATAACCGTAAAATGTAGTGTAGGAATTAGCCAATCACAGTCTAGAATGGTCAAAAACTTTCTGCTCTGATTGGTTAATTCTTACGACACATTTTACGGTTACGTCTTACTGTTACAGAAAGTGTGTATTATATACGAGTGTCCACAGGGTTACCGTATCCTCTTTTCTCCCTGAATAGCCAAAATTGTCTTTTTAGCTTTTTCAGAGACTTTTGAAGGACAGTTCCATATATTTTCTAAAGATTCCATACATATATTTTCCAAAAATTCAAATAATTACCGTCTATAATTATTCCCTCCGGACGTTTCCGGAAACCCTAACAAAGAAAAAAAAACGGCTGAAGAAAAAGAAATGAATGACAATCCTAATTATGGAAGGGCACACTGCGAATGACCAGTACATATCAACAAAAACAATTTTACATATTTGTTAATCTGATTAATTCAAATTTTTGATACACGAAAGGAAAATTAAATCAAGAAATTGTCAGACAAATGATAATCAGACATTGTTAGTAGAGCGCATTTAAATCTATTCTTAATTATAATCAATTACAAACTTATTTATTAACTGCATCTGATTCTCATTTGCCCGACATATATTTCTTGATTTATTTTTAAATTCGAGAAAAAAATTTATACAAAAGGAAAATCGAATTAAGCAGTTCTATGTAATCATCCGCGCATATAAAAATATATTTGCAATTTAAATGTTCTCTTCTAATTTTTAACATTTTTAAAGATCTGTATAAATTTATTTACAAAGCACTCACGTTCTTGTTTGTGGCGTACGATCACGCTGTCGACGATTCTTGAACCAATTGGACACCTGAGTCAGCGTCAAGCCAGTTTTCTTCGCGAGATTCTTCTTTTCGTCCGGCGTAGGATATCGGTTCCTCATATAACAC